TTGATGCAAGTCACGAGTAAAAATGAAGATTGGTGAGAGTTTTCCCATGCCGGAATGGACGATGATGGGATGATAATCGTGATGACGATAGAGACAATGACATCGAGACACCATGGGGCTCCGTTAATGTGAATCGAGCCACGTTTTTTTCTAACTGGTCAGACTTTCCCATCCAATTGAGGCTCGTGTAATTAGATTCAGGTGCACGTTAAAGAAGCCTAGGTGGTCAAAACTTCAGAAGCTCTCCGCTACGACATCTCTAAAAATCATCAGGTAGTTCTGGAATACTAAAAATAAACAATTACCACTATTACGACTTCTCACCAAGAGGAAATTTGCAGAACGAGACGGCAAAATATGTAGCATATGCTCGGGAATGAGGAAGCTATTCAACGAATAACTATGCAAGAAAAAAAAAGACATGCGTTTGATGGTGACGGCGCAGGCTTTTATTTTCAATGCATCTACTCTTATTCTCATACACTATAGGGCAGCTCTTAGACTGTTTTATTAGAAAGTTAAAGAAGAACAACAGCTAATGAGACATTCTTTGCCACGGGACGCACCAAAGATACGAAGACGAGTGCATGCTTCGGGAAGTACGTGATGCCAAAAGTTTCTATGGCGCACTTCCAACGTTGAACAACAACAACAACAACAACAAAAAAAATAGGCTGAAGCTTTTGAAGTATCAGGTTTTATTTCAATGGAGAGGTTGAACCGAAGTAACCATTATTTATTGCGACCTTGCTAAAAACAACAAAGGCGTCGTTGAAGCTAATGAGTATATCTGAATTGAAGCACGTGCAGCATGAGCGTACGAATTGCAAAGTCAGAGATATGACGATGCAAAGTCAGAGATATGGCTCCCATGCCATTAGGTTTGCTGGAATAGCGAGGCGTTCTGAGTGAAGTGCGTGAACGCTGTGTTTTGGATCATAGTTCCGAAATTTTTCCTAATTTTAGACACAAGAGTAAAATAATGAGGCCATGCAGAGCAATACAGAATGAAAGTTGAGGTGAAAAAAAATTGTGCAGGCCTTTAGGACGACGTGTTGCGAATAGATACAGCAGAACATTTTCGATTGGTGATTCTCTTGAAATAGCTAATAATCATTTTCGGTTTTCAGAGTGCAGCTTTTATGCGCCCGTTCTTGCGGTAAGCTGCGTCGCCATCTGCGTAAGCATTTGATAGAGCCAACGAAGACGAAAGAGAGCGAACGCGGAGTCGGGTGGTGGCACAAGCCAGTGGCTTTAACCTCAATTTCTTCCTCCGTCATACGCGCTGGCTCCTCGCTCGGAGCTCGTGCGCATGCAAGGCTGGCAGGTGCGCTCCGCCTGGCGCCGCTTGTCGTATAACGGGGCTGTCGGCGCATCGCATGATTCGCGACGCCTGCAATGCACAGAGTGGTGTGTGTAGCACTCGAGCTCTGGCAGTTTTTGTGGCTATATGAAACGAATGTTAACAACTGCGTATAGCAAAAACAGTTGGCATTGCCTATGACGTCATCACTATAAGGTATACGGCGAGGGCATCCAGCAATACCATATATGGAAATAAAGCACTACATGAACGGAGGCCTGTCTGTGGTGGCTGCCGTGGAACACGCCCAAGCGCTGCTTTCCACGGTCTTCTGGTTAGCGAGGCAATCGCGTTACGCTCCATGTGTGGCAGTCGACGTGAAATGGGCTGCACAGAATTTCTTGCCTCAACTTATTCCAAGGACAAAAGAGCAAATCATTCACGCTCAAAATTCGCATTAGGCAGTATCGTATTAATTGGTGAACTTTTTTAGCATAAATATATAATTGTTGATATTTATTGGCTTGATGTGCCACTTGGAAATCGTTTGGAAAAAAGAACAGCATGATTTTGCTTCTGTGGGATCACGCAAAGAAGTGGAAGCATTTTTATTTCCTGCATTTTAGGCCCAATTGCATGCGCCTTTGAGGCCCAAGACGCATGAAAGGGACACCCGACACTATCCACTTCTATGAAAACTATTCATATTAGACTTTACTATTTATTGTATCACATTATGCCTGTATATTTGTCGCACGCTCGAACACTACACACAAGAGCGTGTGGTGTATGCGTTCATTCTTTTGTACACTGTCCTTCATTTTATGTGCTTACTACTTTCGTGTTGGAGCGCTTGGAGTCTTTCCATTAGAGCTGTGTGATCCATCAGTTTCTGATTTGTTGGATGCACCAGGGATTGCCCCATGTGGCACCAATACTGAAGTCAATCTGGGGATGCTCCCCCTCAGCAGGCTCTCATTTTGTCGGATTTTGAAGCGGTGCTCCTTCAAAACTGTGTCATGTGCTGCCTACAGGTAAGCTCTGCTAGCAGCAATTCGTATTCGTGGATAAACGGAGTAATAGCAATTTCATTTCAAATAGTCATTTAGTACTACCACATGTTGGTCTTATCAGAAGTGAACGAGCGCATGCGGTCGTGACGTAGAGCTGCGAAAATGAGAACACCACCAAGGAATAAGAATGCAAAGGTAATTAATACATCATTTGGTACTTTACTCTTCCTTGCGCACACATTTCCTACAAAATATTGCTTTAATGAAAGCGGCACCATTTGACATTTTATATTGTCGAGAATTTGAGAGAATGGTAGGTGATGAAAATGGTGTCTCCGTACTGAATAAGTACGATTTTTTTCATTCTAATGTACGCCTGTTCACACACATAATTGACAGTTTTCTTACAGAAAACTGAAGGAATCAGGGCTAAAGGCAGGAGCATGCGCATGACTGAGGTCCTGATTCTTGCACAATTAGTGCTCAGCAAGCGATATATCAAAAAACACAAAAGAGCAGATTACGTATAGACTAAGCACATGATCGAATAACAAACATAATCAACATGAGTAAAATAGTGAAATAAACTACATAAGTGACGAAAGTAGCATAAGGAACAATGTAACATATTATTCAACCTGCAGCCGCTGGCCCTGACAGCAACGAGATACAAGAACGATATAGTGTGACACCTTTAACGCTATTTGAAGATTTGTCTTCGACACAGTCTCAAAAAAGGCAGTTCTTTTAATAAACCGACGAAGTTTGGTTTCGGGATTCCGAGTGACATGCGCGCAAAATGAAACACACCTAACGAAATCTACAATACCAATTTTTGGACCAGTGTCGATATTTTGACCCGAAATAGACTTCTCATAACTAATACATCACCCATCTTATTTACATCAGAGTTATTTTGATATGTCAGGGTTATCAACTTGTTGTACATTGCGACGATTGTCATTCGAAGGGACGCTCATTGCTTCCTTGTGGACAAGTGCCGATGTGCATTTTTTTTTCATTTTTTAACCATTACAACTGGAAACGTGCAGTACAACAGTGCTTGCAAAATTATTGCGCAAAGAAATTTCCTGTAGGCCTTTGTGTGCGCAATAATGAAAGAAAGAAAGCACTCGTGAATACGCAGAAAAAGACATAGAACACCTTATTTTACGTTGTATAACTTATGCTGCTGCTCGAAAGAAAATTTTATAAAAACTGAATAGGTCATATTCACAGCCACTATCACAAGCAAACATTTCGGACCCATGGTTAACAGAAACTTTTCAAGACATCAATGCACGTGCACCAGAACAGTCTTTAGAAGGATCAGGAATATCAGAAATAACATTGCTAGAATTGTTAATTATTGCCAGGTATTTTTGGTCCCATGTTTTGCGTTGTTTCTCGTGTTGTGTGACGATATCCTATAAAGAACTGCAAGCTGAACTTATCTGTAAAGCGCAAATGTTTCTTGTGGGTGAATATTGTCGGTAATGTGTCCACATAGTTTATGATGTGTGGACGTTGCGTTTTTTGTATGGATATATTCGAGCGAAAATTAAGCCCCGCCGCAGTGGTCTAGTGGCTAAGGTACGCGGCTGCTGACCCGCAGGTGCGGGATTGAATCCCGGCTGCGGCAGCTGCATTTTCAGTGGAGGCGAAAATGCTGTAGGCTTGTGTGATCAGATTTGGATCCACGTTCGTGAGCCCCCGATAGTCGAAATATCCGGAGCTCTCCCCTACGGCGTCTCTCAAAATCATATGGTGGTTTTGGGACTTTAAACTCCACATAATTATATATTGAGCGGTAATTTAACTTTACTTTCTTGTTACTGATAACTGATGGCACAAATTTTTAATAAACATAATAGTAGCATCCGGAGCCATATTTAGGCGCCATCCCCTCTTTAAACTAATTTAATAAAAAAATCAATGAAACAACAAAGAGCTATTACCAGGAATTGATCGCGGATCCACATTATATTCAGACTGTGAATGTAGGCGATGAATATTTGTTCACTTTGCTTTCCTTAGCTCAAGAAAGAATAGACAACCTGGGCAAACTATTTCCGTGCACGTGTCGTCTTTGCGACGCGCATTATCATCCGCTGTCTCGCATGAAATTTGCGAAACTTGATACGAGAGTTTTGGAGAACAAACCTAAATAAACCTGGCCCTGTTTTACAGTATATATAACAGCTATTCATTGCATTGAAAACGTAAATAATCATGTACTCGATGTATAGGCAGTTGGGGTGTATTCTTTCATAAACCAACTAAACGACCAGCTCAAATTACATGCGATATTTATCTGCTAGCAATGAGCATTACTTTAAAGGGAAAACATATTTTGAATTCTCTGCCGAAGTGACCAACACCCAACGGCTTAATAAACACGGTACTGCCTTCACGAAATTGATTGTGTCTAGCAACAAAATTGCTATAAGAAGCGATGAAAAAGAATTTTCTACAACACGAACGCCTAAATTACAAATGGCTCAGTGTTTGCGGTCGCTTATTGCGTGCCAACAGTACACAAAAATGGCAAAATTGAGTTGCGTCACCAAATGCGAACGCCGTGTCGGAAAGTAATCTGTCACGAAGAAAAACATTATTTCTATATCCTAGCTTGTACAAAGCTCATGATTTTTTTTAAATGTAAGGCGCATTAGAAAGCTTACGACACTCCAACGATGTTCAGATTGTGGCATCGAGCTTTCCTGAGCACTTTGCCAGCGTCGGCGAGGCTGCAGCCGAACTTATTGTTCATAGTGATGCCGCAGCCCACGCTGTTACCTTGAATGCGGAGGAGTAACCTGTAAATGGAGCAAACGTAGATGATTTTAGTACACGACCCTTGCGTTGTAAACGCGGCAGAAATTGAATTCAGTATTTCGACACACCCAGCTCCGCTACCCTTACTCATATTTGCATTTACTCCACGTCGAAATATGCATGATTGCATGTTTTAGATTATGGGGTTTTAGCGGATCCACGTCGTTCGTCATGCTCACTGAGCACGGCTTTAGCCGTGAAGTTTCACCTCGCTCAGCGGGTCGTCTTATGAGTGCAGAGATTGTGACGTGTACAACTATCTGCAGTTTCCTTCGCGTGGCGCACATTTGCTGTTTTATTTTACAGTTTTGCATGGTAGAGCATATGCAGTAGCAGGCCTTTTCGTACACGTATGTTTTTTTTTTTACAGCGCTGGGACACGGGGAACTTTCTTGCGAAAGTACAAGCATGAACCATTATTGCTTCCGCTCGTCTGATGTGTCCCGGTGGCTTGCAGCAATACTTTTTTTTTGTTTTGCGATTGAAATGGGTTTTGAACAAGCACGAAAGCACTTTCGTGAAAGCTCTATAATAAAGTATTGTGTTCTTTCTTTACAAAAAAAGACCCGAATCAGAGCATATAAGGCTGAAAACTTTACACCAGGTGCAAAATTTAGGTAATAGGAGGACCAAATAAATGAAAATTTCATTCGCGTAAATAAATCCTGTGTTATTTTTGCTTTTTTTTTTAACTAGTGCTACTGCGACTGCATGCAGATCAATAAATTGGCTAACTGTAACTTTGACTGGGCGGGCCCGACAGGGAAGGGGGAATGAGCTGCATGTCGTAACCATATCTGTTCTAAATGTTCGTAGTTATATTCGAAAGACTTGGACCGCATTCTTTTACTATTCGGTTTCCGAAGAGTTCTCTTTGCCAACACACTATTGAGACACGCTGTCGAGACAACCCCGCCATGACCCCATAGAAACAGCATCATCTAATTTCTGTTGGCGAATCGAGCTCTTCGATAATCGAATCGTTGCAGAATACGGCCCCTCAACCAGTAGTGCACGCACTGTACAGTTATTGCAGTTTAGGAAAACGCGGAACAAATGCGCTTCGTGTGAAACGGAGCGACGCGCTGACAAAGGACAAGCAGGCATGTATCTAAGGGAACGTATATGAGTGATGAATGTTGCAAACGTTGAATCGCGAGTAGCAGTCATCATCACTTAAGATCATAGGACTCATTCAGACTCAGATTCACGTCTCTATCTGAGTCTTGGTGAGCCTGAGTAAGTCGACTCATGAGTCCGATAACAGAAATGTAACATTGTGGACCAAATTTTCATTGCTTTTTTACACTAATATATCTCATAATCAATGATTCGCTAGGCACCTTTTGATCTCGTACATTTAAATACGACCCATGTATCAGTGATTGCATTCAGTAGGGGCATTTTTATAGAAATAGATGACCCATGAGATATCTCTATCGAGAATTCTCGCGAGAAAGCCTACTGGCGAAGGTTGACGCACCCCACCCTCTGGTGACTGACGCCTCTCATCAATAAATATTGAGCTGGCATATGATGGCTAGTCCGTTTAAGTAAATAAGAGAATACGATAATATGCACGCGACATGATGCAAGTCTGCTAATAATGCAGAAGTTCGTTAGTTATAACCATAGGTTGGCACAGAAGTGTTGAGCTCACCCAGACTCGCTCATAAAATATATCTTGTCTCTCGGCCTCGCTAAGACTCACACTGACCCAAAATGTTTCTAAAGTGGACTCACTTAGACTCACACTCACTAAATTTTTGTTTCAGCCAGGCTCACTCGGACTCACGAGAACGTTACTCACTCAGACACAGGTTCATGGTTCTGAGTCTGAGTTAGTCGACTCACGAGTGAGTTTGCCGACCTATGCTGAAGAATGCAAGAATACTTCGCTGACTGAGCATGTAGGAGTATGAATGCTGTTTGTGGACAGCTTGGAGCTTTGAAAAATCACATGCTGTGGAAAAAAATAAAGAAAGGTGGAGAGCTCGTTTTAATTCTGATGCTAAATATGAGTCATGTGCTATATCTACGTGCGGTACGAAGAAACACTGTAAACGTTTCACAATAGTGCTAAACCTCCTTGCATAGGGCCAGTGGTCACCTAAAGTTATTATATACAGGCTTCCATAGAATGCGTTCAGCTGTACTATGAGTACACTCATATGTATACCTGACATTCTTGTCCCTGATTTTGTCCAGTTCGTCGGCGCAGTCGAACGTCATTAGAGTGACATTGTGCCGCTTGGCGTAGTCCAGGTGCTCCACACTCTTGATGGGATTGGCCAGTATTATACGCTCCGGAGACACGCCGAGCTGCATGACCATCTCCATCTCAGCCTGCACGCGTGCCATTAACGATGTCACTGTTTTCAGCTCATGTACAAAATCAATAGGGTCTTATTGTATTGCTATTGTTGTAGTCACTGCATTAAATATTTTCAAGCGTATGGCATGTCATAAATTGACCGTTTGGGCAAAAATACCCATTCACAGAATTGCATTGTTTTGGTTGGTATGGAGTGAGGGTTCCCTAAGGCGAATGTCCCAATAAACTAATTCTAGCGACAAATGTGGAAGCACGGACATTGATGGCATCAGACCCCAATTGCTTTAGGAATAAACAGGCAGTGGTTTGAGTAGATTGCTACTTCACTTTGGAAAAACTAACACTGTATGACTGAACGCCGCAAAACAGGAAGGTATACTCATACCTTCATACTGAACGATGTATAACTTAGGGATGTTTTTATTGTGTGCTTTTACTGTGTGTTTTCCCGATGTCCTTTCTGCGAAAATCCCGACAAGGGATTGGCAGTATTTTTTAAATAAATAAATAAATAAAATACCATTCCCTTTCAAAATGTAAATTTTCCGAACGAACGTTTCAGCTGACAATAATGTTAACATCTGAGGTCTTACATCCCAAAAACATGTGAACGACATGATTACGAGGGACGCCGTAGTAGAGGGCTTCGGAAATTGCGATCATCCCATGGGCCCTCCCATTTTGCCTCTGCCGAAATGTGACTGCCATGGCCAGCACTGAAACTGCGACCTTCGTATCAGCAGCCGAGCGCCCTTTTAGGGGCGAAGCTCCTTAGGGCGTGGGCTGTGCGTCCCCTGTAGCCTGTATGTAGCCACCTCTAGTTTAGTTCTTGCAGGGTTCACTAGATGGCGGTACCGTCCCCTGTATGTAGCCATCTCTAGTTTAGTTCTTTCAGTGTTCACTAGATGGTGGTACCGTCTCCTGTATGTAGCCACCTCTCGTTTAGTTCTTGTAGTGTTTACTAGATGGTGGTACTTGTAGCTGATGATGAAAAGATGCAAGATGTTATAAACTAGAAAGCGGTACTTGTAGTTGATGAAAGACGCGAGATCTTATAAAATAGGAATGATGTCACATATGGCGCGTGTCATTGGTTGAAGGCAATCGTTCGATTTATTGCGGCGACGTACGCTAGGGGGAGCGATGTAATAAAATCGAGTGGGCAAAATGTACAGAGGATTCATGGTTTACCAGGTTTACCTCCGGAGCTTCGCCCACTCATCATCATTCACTTCGTGGATATGGCGGAATTTTTGTCAAAACACCTTGGTGGATAAGATTTTGGATGAATACTTCGAAATTAAAAAATATTGATCGTCACGTACCGCGCTTACTATATGCGACAACATACAGCATAAGAAAACTACACTCATGTAGGTCGCGATAGTTGAGAGGAAAAAGTAGTTTGGAACCAATTATCAGCGAACGCCCATAAGAGGCAGTGACTAAATCCCTAACCGCACGCACGCAATTTAATCGCGACAGCGGCAAACGACAGCGACTAGCGACAAGATTTGCTGTCGCGCAGGCCCATCCGACGCCGCCGCTTGTCCCGTCACCCGTTTCTGAAAAAGTAGAAAAGATCGCTTGTCGCCCGACAGCCAGCGTGGCGATTTCCGGCAACATGGCTGCACCCTTGGTCCTCGCATCGGTTGAAATTTGTTCTCGATGCTTGTTATGCATGCGTACTAAGAGGAATGCAAGGTATCGACTACCTTTTTTTTTTACATTCTCATCTCACGCAGACAGTGATTGAGCGGCCGTATTTTGTTGTATATCTCGTTATCGAAGGTTTATTTTGATGCCTCGAGGGTAGTTTGGGACAATTCGATCGCTTGCTGCAATGCAAATAGTCATGCGAAGTACATCGTATCAGTCATAGCGTATACATTTTTGGGCAGCCTGTTGTGGCTAAACCAAATATTGCGAAATAAGGAGATCATGCAGTGGTTTTGTGGCTTCCTTGTGGCACACAAGAGAGTAACAAACTTAGTATGTTGTCACCAACCAACTCTTAAACTTCTATTTGGAATGTATGGGTATGCACGCGGTAGTTTTCATTCCAACCATGACACTTCGTCGCCGACATGCGGTTGCAGCCGTCGTGACGCGACGGAGCAAGTTTGTCAGTGTCGCTAGGAAATCGCGTGCATGCATGCGGTTAGAGGTTTAAGTGCGTCTGCAAAAAAGAGCAAATAGATGTGGCCGACTAGCTTTATCTTGAAAGCGTATCAAAGCAGAATAAGTTGAACGAAGGAGGCAGAAACAGCTAGAAAGAAAAACGTTTTTAGAAAAGTAATCTCATTTATTTATTTATTGAATAAATTGTTTACTTAACAATGCTACTAATTCAGGGAAGTTGTTGCAGACTAACAATGTTTAGTTATATCTATAAAAGTGATCAAATGTTATGCTTCCCATTTGAAGTTATGAAATGATGTCCTGCACTGCTTGCGAGACGACATAGGCGCACTTTTCTCTGAGGTTTTACACATTTGTAACCTTCCACTAAAGGTGATTGAAAGGCACTGAGTGGGCGGTGACTTGAGGGCGAAGGGCGAACAAGAGGGTGAGAGTAATTTCAAGCCGATATGGTGCCGATAATTTATTTCAGCAGCTATAGTACTTTCGACCCGAGCTAAGCCAGCAAAGCCAATCGCGGCGAAAATGCTGTCTCAGCAAGTTAGAGGCAACAAAAAAACAAGTCTTACCACTCGCTGCAAAAACAAACAAAAAAGACATCGGCCCGCAATCACAAGAAGGCTCATTACGCGAGATCGATTAAAATGTGAGGTTTAACGTTCCAAAACCACCATATGAATATGAGAGACGCCGTAGTGGAGGGCTCCAGAAATTTCGACCACCTCGGGTTCTTTAGCGTGCGTCCAAATCTGAGAACATGGGCCTACAGCGTTTTCACATTAATCTAAAATGCAGCCAACGCCACCGGGCTCGATCCCGCGATGTGCGGGGCAGCAGCCGAGCACTTTAGCGACCAGACCACCGCGGCGGGGCACTGTTTATGAGAGAGCTTTTCTGAAAAGTATACATATATATGCAAAGAAGGCATGATGAAACTCTTTCACGAAACGGTCTGCACGTTTTCAGCTGATGGACCAGCTTTTGTCGGAGTAAAGATGTCTTTGTGAAAGTTTCGTCGCCCGTTTCTTGCATACAGTGCGTCGGGTCTAGCGTGAATGACGTTCCAAAAATCTTGTACACACACACACACACACACACACACACACACACACACACACACACACGTATATATATATATATATATATATATATATATATATATATATATATATATATATATATATATATATATATATATATATATATATATATATATGGTGGGGTGATATTCAATGGATCCGGTGGAAAATGCAGTATAAAAAGAGGTCGACAAACGTGCGAAAAAACACTAGTTTTACTAACGTTTCGGCAGGTGGGCCTGCCTTCGTCGGAGTGAAATTTAACATTCACTCCGACGAAGGCAGGCCCACCTGCCGAAACGTTAGTAAAACTAGTGTTTTTTCGCACGTTTGTCGACCTCTTTTTATACTATATATATATATATATATATATATATATATATATATATATATATATATATATATATATAAGCTGACTAATAATACCTCGTATACAACGTAGCTACGTGACGCCACACAGGCTCATAATAAGGGTGCCATACTCCCCGCCATGGCTACTGATGTCACTGACTGACACTCCCACGTTTAAAAACTCACATATATACCCAATAAAGTGACTGGGAGGGGGGTAGCCGATGTGGTAGCTCAGTGGTGGAGCATCGAACGCGTTATTCGATGGTCACTAGTTCGGTTACCGCCCACGGCAAGTTATCGTTTCACCCACTTTTCTTTCTTCACAATCATATTTAAAAAATTAGGTCTAATACCTTTTACTATACTCTCCTCTTGGCATTATGGTCTGTTGGGTCTAATTAATATTGTGTCAGAACACGCAAGAACCAGCCCTTAAGTATATGCTTCTTTCCCATATATATATATCGGTAAAATGGAGTACTTAAGATGAGAAAATACGCCCTACCAATGGCGAACATGGTTTTTACTGATGAAAAAGCGTCCCCATGCATTAAGCACCACTTTTATGAGGAGGCCGCGTTTGAAGGCTGAGATTGTGCGGCTGTTGTTGGAAGTGACAGCTGTTATAACCTTCAATTTGACTGCTTTATCATCGTGTACGCCTGAAATGTGGACAGAAAGAGGTAAGAGAACGTGTGTTACAAGTCTGATTACATTATAGCGACATATATAACATCGGTACACACTCCAAGTGGCTGAGCATGCTTATCTGGGAACTTCGCGAGTGAGAAAGTTATAGGGTCATGCAAATGATATACGCGCAAGGTCAGATGTAGGAATGAAAGATAGAGTGAGAAGTTGCTCTTGTTAATTTGCACTTATTCGTGTTGCAGTTCATGCTGCATAGCACAATTGCCTACGTGGGCGGCAATGTTGATGGTAGCGTTTTCAATTCAAGGAATGCCATAATGACCTGAAGACCGTAACCATAGTCGGTCGGTTGTTCCATATGGGTCCTCACGGAAGAGACTTATGCATCTTTTTGTAACATTGAGGTGATTTGCATTCAAGTAAAAGTTTTTTTTTGCTGCTATTATATGAGGCTGGGTGAGGCTCTTTGTACAGACTTTCGTAGTGCCACCGTCAGAAAAAAAAAAAGAAGACGATGACAAGAAAAGATGAGCGTGAGTTGAACCCGGAGTTGGTGAGGTACCTGTCCTATACACCAAAACACAACGATTTCAGTGGATGCCGTCATGTTCAGGCAGCACGTCGCGCCATCTGTCGCAAGCATGATGAAACAACACTCTGAACTGCCATGAGGGCAGACGCTCCGCCATTCAAACGCGAAACATCCCAATTTGCCAACTCGAGTGCGACTGCATGCATGCTGCGCACTTTCCTTCTTGGAAGTTTTCGCTGTTTTCTTGTGAAACGTCGAGACCTTCCTCGGCAGTCCGGAACGTTTACAGAACATGTAGGGCAGTCTGCGAGAGCAAGTTGATTGATTGATATGTGGGGTTTAACGTTCTAAAACCACCGTATGTATATGAGAGACGCCGTAATGGAGGACTCCGGAATTTTCGACCACCTGAGGTTCTTTAACGTGCACCCAAATCTGAGCACACGGGCCTACAGCATTTTCGCCTCCATCGTGAATGCAGCCGCCGCAGCCGGGATTCAATCACGCGACCTGCGGGACAGCAGCCGAGTACCTTAGCCACTAGACCACCGCGTCGGGGCTGCGAGAGCAACTTAATAAGGTACGTATTATCGGGATCGAAAGAAACGTGAACAGCGGAAAGCGTGGCTTTCGACACAGTAGAACTGCGACATGCTTTAACTGTTGCTATATACCAATTCCACCGGATTTACGTCACGAAAATGTGGTGGCGCTGTCTTGGTAGGCAAAAAACGCTCTGCCTACCGCAGTTTCTGTTGGGTTTTCAATGGCGCAAGTGGTGTTTGTTCTCAGCCAAGCAGCGAGAAAAAAAAACGGTATGCCGACGAACTGCGTTGCGGTTGGATGTGAGTCGCGTCTCACAACTTAGTTTTGCTTGTTGGCGCACATCGCAGCCCTCAGCGCTTATGGCTTTCACAACGCTTATGGCTTCTCAGAATGTCGTTTTGTTGGTGAACATCGCAGCCTCAGCGGTTATGGTGCAAGTTATGTGCGGACGTCGCTATTATTGTACCCGTAATGTCGGCATCGGTCTACCTATGTTTACAAACATGGAATGGGTCTATAGCTAAAACTTGTGCATTCATCCAGCGTCACCGTAGCGCTAGAATCTCACTCTGGCTTGCGCTCACGCCCCGCATGTGTTTATGATTTGCCAGTCATGCTCGGCCCTAACAACACACACGTGGTGCCAAAGTGCCAGCCAGAACACGATTTCATTGTGCTGCGGTGACACCGGCTGTCAGCACAGATTCGCCTATATACGACAGTCAAAGCATGTCGCCGTTCGACTGAGTCAAAAGCCATGTTTTGCGCTTCGCATCGCGATAGTACGCTGTTACATTTGCACTCAACGCGTGCAGTGGGTGAATGCACACGCGAGTCTTACCCCGTATTCTAGAACGTCCCTTCACTCAACGCTTCACCTTCACTTGAGAAAGCCGATGGGAGCGCTGTCTCTAGGCGCGGCAATTCACTGCATATCAGCGATTATCTGCTGCGATTCTTGAGTAGCACAGCGCCATTTTGAGCCGAGCTGTGGCGCAGTGCTCAACTCTGTCAAGTGAAGGGTGAAAGTCGAGTCGAGGAGCGTTTGTGGATACGGGGGTTAATATCTCTTAGTATTGACGCGTGGCCCGAGAAAGAGTACGGCAATTATTTGGTGCCGAATATGGTGGGAATATTGCACGCAAATAGCTACTGTAAAATGAAACAGTTGACGTCGCGCTTGATTAAACACAGTGTCGTACACTTTTACAGGGCTCGTAGTCTTCCTTGTTGATGGTCAATATACACTGGCGGGAATTCGAAGTTTGTCGTTGCGGAAGAAAATCTGCGCAATTTCTGCGTCGTGAAGTAATTTTCACAGACAGCCCTCAGTAAGATTTCCTTTCTGTGCTCATTTCTGATGGAGGCGGAAATGTTGTACACCCGTGTGCCCAGGTTTGGGTGCACGTTAAAGAATCCCAGGTAGTCGAAATTTCCGGAGCCCTCCACTACGGCATCTCTCATAATCATATGTTGGTTTTGGGACGTTACACACCAGAATCAATCAATCAATCCTTCCTGTGCTGATTGTTTCCGCATCTAAAGATTGCGCAGTGTTGTCAAGATGACTTCTTGTTAGTGGGAGCGGCGTTAATAGGTAATTTCTCCTATTTTGAAGTAACAGAGATGCCGCTTTTTACATTAACTTCGTGCAACAGATCCACGCCATGGCAGTTGAGAACAAAATGGCCGTCTGGGTGTGGAAGTACGTGCCGGGAGCCTGGGTGCGAGATAGGCGTGCTCTTGTTCATACCCGCGGTGGATGTGAAACAAGAATCAACCATCACCCGCAACAAAAATAGTAGTAGTAGTGATAGTAGTAGTAGTAGTAGTAGTAGTAGTAGTAGTAGTAGTAGTAGTAGTAGTAGTAGTAGTAGTAGTAAGTTATAAGGATATATGCTATAAATAAGCAATTCAAGCGAACAGACATGGAGAAGTCACAACGCTTCACAGGCTACATAGAAAGAAAAACTTGGGGACGTTACGACTGAATTTTCTAATTATGCATCTACCGAGTGTTTTCTTTTTGTCTGTTCTCAATTTTAGGCTTTGTTTATTTTCAGAATCTTGAGGCAAGTACGTCATGACCATGCAATGGTATGGGTCTCATCACTGTATTAAAGAACGAGTTGTGCGAAAATGCAGAACTTACCTTGTTGGAGCAGTCGAAGTTCACTCCGAGAGAGTGTAACATCCGCATCACTACCAGGTCTGTGCAGCACTTGACGGCTGAAATTAGGAACAGTACATGCCAGCTACGACTTCTTCGGTTAATGCCCTTAGCCTTCTTTGAGAGCGCGACACAGTTTGTCAGCATATAAGACCGCGGCAGGAATGGCTTGAAAAGGAACCTTATGGTAAAGTTAATTAACGCATAGTTTTAACGCTATAGCGTTAAAATTACACCCCGACTTTGTATACAAAGTCGGGGTGTCCAAGTCGAAGGAACAAAAGAAAAAGCCAGAAATTTTGGGGAAAACTATACGAGAAGAAGCCAACTTCAGCCAAGGCTGCTAAAAGAAGCCGTAAGTATATAACCACGCATGCGTGAAAAAAAATGCAGCGTTTTTATTTAAATTACTAAATGCATAGGTTTTTCGTCGAAAAGGTAAAAAAGTACAGTATAAACTTAGTCATCGTTTAGGCATAGTATGAAGCATGAGACAAACTTTCTTGCGCTTGCAAAAATGACGCTATCTTCCAGCGTCTTGCGCGACATTTCATTAAAAGAACATGAGTACCAGCCTTGTGCCAAAAATAAAATTGACCACAGCATGAGCAGGCTTGATATCACAGGTGCTGGTATTGAAGCATAAAATGCAGCACTCACTTTCACAACCATTTTTTTATGAATAAGAAGCGCGAGAAGTTAATATTCCTTAGTCATGGGTTCTGTTCCTTAAAAATACACAAGTATTTCATCTAGTTTATCGAATAGCCAATTTCGAATGCCACTGAGTGCACAGTGTCCTGAATGCGGAGCGCTTTTGAGTGTCCTCTTCGTTTGAAATTACAATTTTAAGAGAAATAGGTGATGTGAAAATGAGTCCCCGTATAATGGCTTTCTCTGGCAGCATTCACGAAATCAAATGCACGATCTTTTGTATAGCTGCAGTGCCAAATTTAATTTTAGGAGCTCGAAGCATGCCTTGGCCGCCATGTTATGACTATGCATAGTCGCATGTGCGAACTTGCGACGTCACCAAATTTTGATAATATGGTTACAGCTATTCAGTTCAAATCGAAGGAACACGAAAGTAGCCAAAAAGTAGCTAAAGCGCTTTATATGCGAAGCATTTCTTTCCGTGCTGGAAGCGCTTTTGGCGTCTATCTGCGTATATATCTATCTATCTAGCCGCTTATGTCTGGATGATCTCGTGATCACCCCCTTGACTTGGCGTGAACCAAAATTAGTATGAGATGGTAATATCGTTTGATGAATATCAAGAGCCGGTAAAAACGTGAATATTGTCACAATACCGCCGCGTACGTCGTCAAACACTTGCCGCCGGACAGTGGCACTATATCCACGGGTGCGTATGTGCCACTGGTACGCAGGTGTGTGGTACACGGGATGAAGAGCATCTACCAAAGAACGACGAGAACACGCAGGGTCAATTTTAAAGCGAGCGTTATGAAAAACCTAACATCGGTAGCGTATGGAAATAATAAATGTCAGGATCTATGAATGAATCGCACCCAAGGGTTCTGCATGGTAATCAAGAATTCTACCACTGAGCCACGTCACGTTTTGGAGATACTCCTCAAATAGACCTTAATGTTCGCGGAACGTAATTTGTGGTTGCAGTACTGGCAATCCATTTTTATAAACATTACTTATGTACTCGTATGATACATCCGTCCCGTCGAGTTAACGTCCGTTGTAGTTAGGTGCCATGTGCTGAAGTTGATTCATGCAGCAGTGTCCAGGGCTATCTTCACGAGCACCAGCGCGTCATATCAGCTTATCGCTTCTGGTGTTGCTAATACTCATGTTCTTGTTGGTATCGTTGCGCAAGTGCAAACATATGGTTATATAAACATCTGCAACTCTTGATTGATTGATATGTGCGGTTTAACGCCCCAAAATCACTTTATGATGATGAAAGACGCTGTAGTTGAGCGCTCCGGAAATTTCGACCACCTAGGGTTCTTTAACGTGCACCCAAATCTGAGCACATGGGCCTACAGCATCTCCGTCTCAATCACAAATGAAGCCGCCGCAGCCGGGTTTCGATCCCGTAACCTGCGGGTCAGCAGTCGAGTACTTTAGCCACTAGACCACCACGGCGGGGCCATCTGCAACTCTTCAACATACGTTTGTGCGTGCAACATTTATACGCGTCATTTTTCGACGTGCCGCTCAATAAAAAATCACTGCATATCCACGGAATGAATGATGATGAGTGGGGCGAAGCGTCTTTCAATTCGTTCTAGCTTCCGTCCATGCGTCCATCCATCCGTACGTGCGTCCGTTCGTGCACCCGTCCGTCCATGCGTCAGTCAATTCGTACGTGCGCCCGTTCATGCGTCCGTCTGAGTGTCCGTCTGTGGGTGTGTCCATCCGTCCATCTGTCCGTCCATGTGTCTTTCTGCCTGTCCGTCTGCTTGTCTGTCTGTCCGTCTATGCGTCCATCCGTCTGCCCATCTAGTGAACACTTCAAGTACCGCCATCTCGCTTCTTTTTATCTTATATTCATCTTATACGAGTACCGCCATCCCGCGAACAATGCAGGGACTAACGAGAGTATGTACCACATTTCTGCTGTGAGCGCTTTGTTAAAACCAAGGGCGGAATAACGACGCCGTGTTACGTTTTTCGTTACATGTGGACATGCAGATATGTGCCCGAGGGTGGGTATGTGCCACTGGTATGCGGGTACGTGCCAGAGGTTACGCACTACGACAAGGGGGGACGTACAAGCCCCGCCATAAGAAGCTTCGCCACTAGAATGACAACATGGTCGTGCACGCTCCCTCCACATGCTTCGCAAAACGTCGATTCGCAAGGTACGTGGGGTGTGCCGAATTTTTTTATAACGAAAGCTGTTAGGAGATCAAAACTCTGGTCACGCGCGGTGCCGTAGTTGTCCGCTGCCGCCACCGCCGGTGTCCGTAACCACTATTGCGAAATAAAAAAAGAACGTAGTACAAAGGTCACAGTGGAGCTCCAACCCGGGTACGCTGCGTGCCAGCGCAGCACTCTACCACAGAGCCTTGCCAGTGTTTTTTTTTCATGGTATTTATTAAAGTACTTGGGTAATAAAGACAAAATCAAGCGAACAAAAGTACAATCAAATCGCGAAAGTAAGCGTTCAGGCGTTACTCATAAACACTAAATGGCTAACACAGCGCGAGTTCCTCACATGGAGAGTTCTTCACATCGTGTTATAAAAACAAAAAAGGGGTGAGATCAAACAGTTCTCTAAGACGGAGTACCAGTCTGGTCTAAAGTCTAGCTCGTCGTAAATGTTTTTTAGGTGGATAGCCATTTCAATGAAGTGTGCGCTTGAAGAGGTGGTGGGCTCTGTATTGCGGTCTTGCATTCGTGTCTTCCACAAGCTGTGCAAACCCATGAGGAAAAACATATCATATGGTACTTCATCAAGCGTTGCTGGTAGAAGATAACGTATTGTGTGAGAATTAATGACGAAACGTTTTTTCAGTGCTCGCTGAAGGACATCCCAAAATAGTATGGCATCTTTGCAGCTAACAAAGCAATGTTCAATCGTTTCCGGCACATCACATAGACGGCAGTTAACAGACGGAATGAAAATACCTTTTCTTTCTAACCATGTGTTTACCGCCAATGTTTCAGAGTGGAGTTTATAGAAGAATGTTTTTGAATTCGGTGGAATGTACATTTTGTGCACTCGCTTCAACACATCGTGACCTGGAAGATTGGAGTACAGTGAACGGTACAATGGAGGTGGGAAAAGTGTACTCAGTAGGTCCTCATACAGCACCTTGCGCGATACTGTGTACAGGTATTCTACAGAAAAGCGAGCTTTAAGGAACTGAACTGCGAGGTAGACCTCCTGCATGAATCCCCACAAGCATGGGCGTTCGGAGAAGTTGGATGAAACAATTAAATCTGGTAAGGAATCAACAAGTGTAACCTGCAAGAAGGAACGGATTACAGGATGGGACTTGTCTCGAAAAAAGAAGAATCGGGACACTATTTTCCATAGATAAAGGTGTTTTAGTCCTAACCCACCCTTACTAACTGGCTTGAATATATTATCACGACGCATGGGCTCAAAAGTCGAAGACCATATGAAAGTAGCAAAAATCCGATGAAAGCGTTGTATATAGAATCTTGTGCAATGAATAAGTTGCAATACATAGTAAAGCTTTGCCGCTAAGAAAGTATTGCAAGCTTCAGCTCTCTCAAATATCGAAAGTCGATAGGGAACAATTGTCTGGGCCTGTCGTTCAAGCTTAGGGGCGCGTTCCTTCCAGTAATGCGCACTGAATCTATATGCATGCAATGGTACACCGAGGTATGTTGGAGAAGTTCTCGTCCAATTAATCCCTGCAAAGTGGTTCGGTGTGCTACCCCACAAGCCAAACCACAGTCCTAAACTTTTAGAGGCATTTAAACGAGCTCCTGATACTACGCCAAACTTTTCAATAGTATATACCACATTTTCGACACTTGGTTTATCTGTGCAAAAGAATGCGACATCGTCTGCATAAGCCAATACTTTAACCTCACTGCCTAATATTCTAAAGCCACGAATGCAACTCGACTGTATTATGCTTAAGCACAGTGGTTCTAGATAAAGTGCAAATAAAAGAGGTGACATCGGGCATCCCTGTTTTACAGAAGAGCGAATAGAAACTGGCTTGGAGAGTTGACCATTAACTATCAGACGAGTTGAGCATTCAGTATAGCATAATTTGACGCCTTTAAGAATAACTTTGCCAACATTAGCTTGTTCGAGAAGAGAAAAAAAGGAAGAAATGACGAACACGATCAAAAGCTTTTGCAAGGTCTACCTGTAGCATTGCAAGATGTTTTTGAGAACCATGACAGTATTGAAGCACTGTTCGAGCGATATGTATATTGCCACGTTCCATTTCCCAAGTTTTTGTTATCGTCCGAAAACACCGCATGATTCTCAGCGCAAACCGCGCCTGCAGTTTTCTAGAAGGTTCCGGACTGTAGTAGATCATTTCGATAAGATCACGCCCACTGTGCGAACGGTACAGATTGTTCTGGAAGC